CGGTCTGTTTAGTGTGTGCTGACAAGAAGCAAAGTTACACACAGAGCTGCTTTATCTTTGCAAACTAATACGAGTCCTTTATTGTAAGGAACTCCATTCTAGACAGGATAGAGTAGTGACAGGATTCTAATCTAGTCTAACTAGCTAAGATGGATAGAGATGCAGGGCTCATGTCCTGCTCTCATGGTGCCAAGATGGAGAAGGCTAGCATAGTGTGGAGAGAAGGTGTCAAAGCCAGAAAGAAGGAAGATTCCTTGAGAGTAGCAGTCTACCCATCAAAGGGATAGTATCAAAGAGTAAAGAGAAGGATAGAACAGTGTCCTGGTCTCCCCATCTCTCTCTTATAGACCCCCTCTGGAGTCTGAGGCTGAGCCTGCACAAAGTCCTTCACTTCCAACAACATCTACAGTGCAAAGTATACTTACTGGCCTATAGCCAAGCATTCAGTTAAGAAAACTTAAATGCCCTTATTTTCCCCCCCTTAAGACAGGGCAGTGATTACCACTGATTTCCCTCTTCCACTGCAGCCTACTAAGTCCCCTGAAAGTCCATTTCTGGGATTAACAGACCCTCACAGACAGCATACTCTGCAGAGTAAAGATAGAATAAGTGGAAATCACTGTATAGTAACAGGCCACTTTTTCTGTTTCTTCTATTGAATCAGATTAGGGTATCTAAAGCTTCCCCATAGGTAGATGAATGAGCACTTATTATATAAGTGAATAGCTTCCATCTTCTGAGCTATGGAGAATTTTAAAGGAGAAGCAGAATAGGCCTGATTTACCCCCAAAGGTGCTTTCAGATGAGACCCAGTTTGTATTCTTTATAACATGATCCTTAGCTTACTGACACATGCATATTTGCTCACTTGTGAAAAATCCCAGTGCTAAAGTAGACATGACGGTAATTACGCAGCCCAAAATGTGTCTAGTTCCTGACACTGCAGTATTTGGTAGAACTTAATATGTGTCATAACAGTCCGCATAACTGGGTGTTGATTGGTGTGGACACAGAAAATCATGGTGTCACAATACAAGTGTGTCAAGTAGAGCATGAGGGGTTAAAGAGGAGGGGAAACTGGCTGCTGGTTTTGGTGACACCTTAGATATACTGCTAACAGCCCTACCCTAAGACCCATCCCCCCAACTCTGGCACATTGCCAGCTCTGCTAATCAGTTTCCTGTGCTTGCTCAACAGAGGGGATATAGGTGAACTAAAAAGCCCTTGTGAAGGTGCAGAAAGCATAACAATTGTACCAGGGAGCATTGCAACTATCCTACAATCCACCAGTTACAGAATGGTGTACTGACAATGTCCCTGTGATAGGCAGATGGAAACAGTCACCCAGTGCCCACTGATGCAGCCACACTCCCCTAATGTCAAACTGCTGTTATCCACACAGAAGACAACAAGGGAGAGGACAAAGGGAAAACGGTAGCACCCTACACTGAAAGAAACACCACGGCATAATTGACAGGAGTCCTGGAGTGTGTAGTCTAGAGGCACTGCCTTACTTGCAGGTGGCCCTAAATAGTAGGGCACCCCACTTCTAACCAGAACCAGAGACCCACAAAGTCAGGCCAAGGGAGGCACTCTTGGCCTGAAACACAGAGCTAGCCAAAAGCTCTAGAAAAGGCTCTCCATTCTCAGGTAGCACAGAGCAGCCCTCAAAGCAATCTCCTGCCTTCCCCCTCCACCCAGCATGGAATGCATATGAAACAATGCCAAGTTCCACCAGGTAAAGTATCTGCATTTCTAAAGGCTACTCAGAGGCCACAGGCAAATAGCCCTTCTGTCTCCAGAACTTCACCTAGCCCTTTTTGTGTGATACCTATGCCTATGTGAAAATCCTTTGTCTCCACAACTGTCCTTCCTGCTTCATCCCTCAAGATACCGGGATAAATTAATCAAACATTCAAATGTTTAGCGATCCTTCCTGATGCTAATCAGGGACCCATCTCCCACCTTTTGTCTATACCTGGGAACCTATTCAACCTGCCTAGGCAGGACCATCATTGGTCATGAAACCCATTCAGCCAGCTCCAGTAGAGCCATCCAGCACCTGGCTAATCTCATCAACACTATTGTGAATCCAGACTCTGCCCCTCTGGAACCTCATTGGTCACACCTAGGTTTTCCTCCTCCTGGTGTCACATCCTCTGGGACCCCTTATTGGTCTAGGAAATCTTTTGTCTTCACCTGAGGCAAGCCCCTCAAGGCCTCCCATTGGTCCACACTGTTCCAATGTCTATATCCATCCAAGCACATGGCCATCAAAGTGTGCACTCTGATGGCACCTATACTTGGAGTACACCGCCAAAGTCTCTCCTTTGGGCCCCCTTCTTAGTGCATAATGCTGGCTGTTGGTGCTATTCTCTTCAAGGACCTCTGCATGTCTGGACAGGTAGTATCACCCCGTAACTGACCCTTCTATTTGCTATAATCACCTCTATTTTCTTAGTTCTGAATTGCTTGTTCTTGCTTGAATGCTTAGTGTGCTTGTAATTAGGGAAATTCTACAATAAAAACTATTTATTTACTCATCAAATCTAGCATGGACCTTGGTATAAACCGGTGTGTGATCACTGGTACTTCTCTGGCCTCCCCTGCTGTCTAGCTAATTTCCCCAACATCAAGGCAGGCCATTGGCAGTAACAGGTGAATATACCCCAGGGAGCTCTGCAAACAGCAATCTGGTTTTAAAAAATCTGTGCATGGTGCTCTGCCAAGTTTCTCAACTTTCCCCTTTAACAAGGGGGTTCCCACATGGTTTTATGCATCTGTTGGGGGACACTGTTGCCATTGAGTCAATACTGATTCATCTCTTTTAGAGAGTTACAGTAACTACTGGTCCTATTCCATGGGACTGTTATCCTGCTAGGCATCATGGATGAACAAACTAGAGTTTAGCTGGAGTGTAGTTTTGCTCCCTGTGCTCCTCACTTGCAAGAAAGACTGTTATACAAGCTTGTGACACAACACCAGCATATCTGCAATTCTTTCCACATTTCTGAGTTGTTCACACTTAAATTGTAGCTACTATAGAGGGAGGCTGAGTGGTTCTGGCAAAGCACAGTCAGTACATGCAGGAGGGCAAGGGGACATGCTTGTAGCTGCAGTCACAGTTTGAGACAAAGACTCCCATTCCCTGTGTGCATTGTCCTTGAAAAGGAGGCTGCCCTTTGGAGTTTGTGTCCGGAGGAGAAGAACACTTTAGTGAATCTGCATAAATCACAGTTAGCAACATGCCACGGCAGTGTTTGTTCTCCTCCTTGCCTATTTGTGCAGCGTGCTCCTTTTTTGTGCAGTGTGTGTGGTTCTGGTACCCAAGTCCCCTATGTGTGTTCTAGGAATGTACAGCAGCAGCCCAGAGAGATATAGCCACATGCCACCCACTCTATCATCTGAATAATGAGTATCCTGGCTGGGGTTTAAATAGTGTACAAGAAGAGGGACCCGCGATACTCGTGGGGGGTATTCCCCTAGGCTCCCCTCCTGCAGAAGCAGGAGGACCTCAGGGCTGAGGAGAAAGCAGCCACAGGTAAGTCCCCCCCCGGCTCTGGCGGCGAGGCCTGAGTGGCTTCCAGCCGCCAGGCCTGTTGATCTCCTCCCCCCCAGCTCCACCACAGATCTCCCCCCCCCGGCTCCTGCGGCGAGGCTTGAGCAGCTTCCAGCCACCAGGCCCACCAATCTCCTCCCCCCCAGCTCTGCCGCCGATCCCTCCCCCCTGACTTCTGCAGTGAGGCTTGAGTGGCTTCCAGCCAAATCCCCCCCAGCTCCTACGGTGAGGCTTGAGCGGCTTCCAGCCACCGGCCCCGCCAATCCCCTCCCACCCAGCTCCACTGCTGATCTCTCCCCCCGGCTCCTGTGGTGAGGCTTGAGTGGCTTCCAGCTGCCAGCCGCCCCCGAGTTCCCAGAGCATTCCCTGTGCATGCGCAGGGAACATTCTTTTACTTTTGGGGGGATTTAAATATCCCCCGTATACTTTTTTCAACTTTTTAGATGTTTCTACACATCTGGGGATTGCCCCAAATGTGCAGGAAAATCTCTCTGCCCCCAGGTGCCCCCGATCTGATGATTTAGATATTCACACACAGAGGGCACCTTGGCTATTAGATATTTAGATAGAAGGACTGTGATAGCCTGCAAACTCAGTTGATATCCTAAGCTTTACTGGGGTCTTAGAGGCAGACTGGGAGATTGAGGGGGAAATAACTAATCTGGTGTCAGGGTGTGACTCTTTGAGGCTTAGAATGCTGTTTAAAAACTGCTTCCCCCCCAATAAACTCCTGACACTGCCCAGTCACGCACCAGCAGTGGAGTCATGCCAGCACGATACTGGCTTGGTGTCGGCATGACTTGAAACCTGCAAATCTTGAAGACACATGAGTGTATCTTTGCCAGACTATCATTCACATATGCTGTTGTAGGGGGTAGTCTCTGACTTAAGATATTCAGAGATGGCGCTTAAGATTGGCCTGTTAGTATAGTTCATCCCTGAGAGGTTGTTTGTTATTCCTGAAGGCCTCCTTGGACTCATTCGATGTGCTACTTCTTTATTGCCCACCCTTCATGTTCTTAGACATGAATTCTTTTCTCTTTAAATTACTACTGACCTCTCTAGTAGCAGTGCTGGAGGGTAAGAAATATATTTTGCATTCCACTTTGATTCGCCAGTTTTAAAAAAATCTAACCAGTAATGCTAATGCCTTTAGAAGTGTTCGATTATATGCCTTTAGAAGTGTTCGATTATGGCTCAAATGAAGCTTTAGGCAAAATGTAATGGTAGGTGAACAAATTTAGTTTTCTGATTGGTTTGAGCTGAACTTTCTGTAAGAAAGGCAGATACACACACACACACCCGTTTGTAGTATATGGTGAGCTTTTTTCTAGTAAAAACTGCAACTGGATATTGTCATAGTCTGATTACTAGGCTCCTCCAGAAAGAGAATTGCATGATGTCTGCTGAGTTAACCGGAAGTTGTTTGTCCTCATTTCAGGGCCTTGTCAAAGCTCCTGCAAGATTTCCAGCCAGTGTGGGAAACCCGACAGTACTTGCAACCCTGATAGTTGTCCATACTGTGTGAAGACCTTGGCTAATGAACCAGAGCTGACAGACAATGAGATGGGAGAGTCTGACAGTGATGGGGTTTATGAATTTACCCAGGATGCTCACTATAATGATCAGAGGGACCCTCAACGATGGAAAGCCCCAGGAAGAAAAACTTTAAAATGTCTAGCCTTTTGGAATGTGGTTTGCGAGACCTTTCGGAAGATTGTAGATAGCAAGTACTTTGGCCGTGGAATCATGATTGCTATCCTGATCAATACCCTCAGCATGGGGATTGAGTATCATGAGCAGGTAAGTGGTGTATGATCTGTACTTGAGTGGTTATAGTTAGATTCACTTTGCTGTGCGGGAGCCCTGGATGCTGGCTTCATTAGCTCCCTCTTAGATCTGCTCTTAGCCCCTGGAGTGGAATTTCATACAATCCAACATTGATTAGTTTTGACCTCTTACTTTATACCTTGTTCTCCTTAGCTGTGTTTATTCTGTCTGTTGTTAAATGAAACTGTAAAGAGCTACAAGGGCAACAAAGCTGGCAAATCTTGGGGGACCTGCTTTGTGTTGGTTAGTGTGGAAATCTATCCTGATGAATGATGTTCATCTACACTCATTTCTTTGCAACTGCATTAGGCAAGAAGGTACACAAGATTATCTTTTGTTTTTCTGATAAAGTTTACATTGTGTTGACTGGATGGGTTTTGCTTTGGTGGTGGGGTCTCTATTGCAATGGAATTGCAGCCATAATGGCAGTATAAGCACAAGTCTCTGTAAGCAAGGCTGACAGCATTTGAATGAGTGAAGTCACATTTATAAACTGCTGGTCTTTTTCTATTTTGCAGTAGTTGTTGTAGAATTCCATAAACCCAACAAAGACTATTTCCTGACATTAATCATTTAAATTTCAACTTATAATAGCTAACTTGCAAACAATATGTCATGAAATACACAAACTGTGCTATGAAATAAGTGCAGTGATTGCATATTTTACTTTTTAAAAATGCACCCTGTCCTGTACAATTTAGAGGAGGCTGTCTTCCCATACTTAGCAATAATTTTGCTCAAATCAATCATATGGGTGGCATTGGACTTTGTATTTACAAGTGTATCTGCCATAACAGACACTTGACATGACCAGTATCAAAACAACTCCCACTGGTTGCATTCGATCACTGCCAAGACTAATATAGTCATAGTTGACGGTCACTATCGAGACATCAGACATACTGTAATTTTTGCAGTACTTGTGGCAATGCTGCTCCTATTCAGAGGGTTCACCAATGCTGATATGTTTTACAAATGTCAGATTCACTTAGTCACCCATTTCTTACACAAAGGCCTAAATTAGCAAAAATTACATTTAATTTTTGAAGCTGCTACAAACTTAAATTGATCTTTTGAGAGATTCCCCCTCTGGAAAATATTTGTGAGACAAAGTGAATAAAGTCTTGCAAGATAGATAGAGCTCCCCATCCTTCCTCTAGTTGTTCCTTCATAAATTACTCTCATGACTTGACAGTCCATATCCCACCTAAATGAACAGCTGATAGGGATGTGGCTGGGAGTCTGTATGCACATCCTGTCACCATGATGCTCCTTCAGGCCTCATTGAATTGCCTGGATATAGCTTTTAACATGCAAACTAGTTGCTTATAGCTGATCCTAGACTGAACCCATTAACTCTAGAAATCAGGGTTTTTGGAGTTAATGTGATTTCTTTGGGAGCCATTTCTCACACATTATGTGGTGACAAACCCAAGTATACTCTCCAAGCTGCAGACAATCCTGACCCCCTGACGAGTGTACTTGTATGATGAGTACATGGTGCTGCCTTCTACAGTCAGACCATTGTCTATCAAAGTCAGCATTACCCAGGGTCTCAGGTAGAGGTCCTTCACATAGCCTACCACCTAGTCCTTTTAAAATGAGATTTCAGGGACTGAAATCTCCCCTACCTTTGTAATCACAAACGTGACACATTCATACTTTACCTTTTCCAGTGTACACTTAATAAATTACCCTTTAAAAACCAGGATGTGTGAAGCAAGCCTTGAGAGGAAATGACATGTTACATACAAGGAGTGTAATTTAACCCCATTTCTTTTTAATGATAAGTAGTCTCTGGAGGTTGTTTGTTTAAGTGATGGATGGTTCAGAGAGGAGATCTTTTTTCCCTCACAAATTTAGAGTCCAATGGCACCTTTAAGACCAACAAAGGTTTATTCAAGGTATGAGCTTTTGTGGTCATGCACACTTTATCAAATACGTAGAATGGCAAAAAAGGTTCAAACTTTTAGCCAAAGAATGAACAGCAAATTAACATGCAACCTGATGATGATCAAGGTATGCATAGTGACACTAAATAACAAGGTTATAAGGTCAACAGTTGTAAAGCAATAAATATGTCAAACTAGCAGACAAATGTCTAAAGGTGTATTTTCTAATTGTGGGAAGTGACTGGGAATCTTCATTCTCTCCTGTCATGGAGGACACTTAGCACTATATCCCCCTCCCCGCCTGACAGGAGAGAATGAAGATTCCCAGTCACTTCCCACAATTAGAAAAGACACCTTTAGACATTCGCCCCCCCCCCCAAGCCGGAAATAATGAGACAGACAACTGTTTGGATTCAAACAAGGGCCACTTTATTAACTATTTATTTTGCATAATAAATCAGCAGCAAAGGAACTAAGTGGGAGCAGGCCAGGCAGGTGTCACTCCAGCCAACCTCCTTGCCTAGATGTATGGGCAAGTCACTAGCCCCAGTCTAGGGCCAAGTCATTGGCCTGCAACCGGCAGCCCAGCGCACAGGTCACCCCCCAGGAGCGCCTACCCCTGAAGCCCTACAGCCTCAGGGAGGAGCTTACCCAAGAGGCTCCCTGAGGTGGTCACCATTCCCAGCCCTAAGCCCTACAGCCCTGGGGCCGTTCCTGATGACCCTCCTGGTCCCAAACCGGAACTGGCTGAAAGTGCTTACCAGTTCTGCTTTCTTTCCCACCCTACTCTGCCACAGGCAAGGCCAAGCCTCTGCTTTGGCTGCTGCGGCCACCTAACAGCCCAAGGCTGCCTTAATCCCTTGCCACAATTCCTACAGGAATATGTCATTGCCCTTGTTTGACAGATGTATGCCATCGTCCCTGTATAGGTCAAGCTCGACCCGAATAGCTGGATGAGGGAGAAACTGACCCAAACCCACCTCCAGTGCCTTCTCCATATGTCGGTTCACCTTCTTCCGGGCCCTGTCCAAACCCCGGGGGTCCCCAAGGCCACGCCAGATACGGTGTGGCAAGATTGCTGACCACACAACCTGTGTACCTGGCCACCTTGCTTTAATGGTGGCGAGGTCAGCCTTGGCCTGAATTGCCAATGCTATGCCCTTCAGCAGGCCCAGGTTGTTACCCCCAAGGTGGATAACCAAGACCCGCGGGGGAGGCCCCTGCCGTTCCCCAAACAACAAAGGGAGGAGTCTGGACCATCTCATGCCTCTCCTCCCTAACCATTCAACACGGGCCCACCCGCTGAGGCCCAGCTGTGATCCCACAGGTGTCCTCCCGGCGTGGTGGGCGGCCCAAAATATCATACTGTGGCCACAGACCAGAACGTCTTGTCTTGCTGGCCTTGCTGACAGCACCTGTAATGAGAGTTCTGTCAACACCTGAACTCAAATTTGTTCTTTCAAACACCTAAACTTAAAACTTGGTCTTTCGAACATAACTCTTATATGCACGGGAATGCCAGCAGCCGATTGTCCAAATATCAGTGGGAGAATACCCCATGTCCGCTGCAGTGGATGCAGCCCCAATCCTGAAGGAGTAGGTTCCGAAACGAAAGGCCCCCAAACCCAGCTCCTTCAGTGCCTTCTGGGTCAGCGACCAAAACTGAAACTTGGTAAGAGGGGAACCATCTCTATGGCGAAATAAAATGCCAACCTCTGACCCCCTCTAGGCAAGGTAATGCCGCAGTGCCCATACGGGGCATTGTCAGAGCACTAACCAAGCTCCAGGACTGCGCCTTTCCCTCGCTGGTCAGTCTTGGAATGCCAAATAACCACCCTAACCTTGTCTACCAACATGGTCAGGTCACCTAAAGCAAGGGCCCTCCCGGAATTATCCTGATGTGATGCAGCCACTAATCCGCTAATGCGCAGTGCCCTGAAGAGCCTGCAGCATTGGAAGCTGCTTGAAGCTCCGCCTTAACTAAGAGGTCCTCCTGCCAGAATGAAACCCCATTGAAGGATTCCAAGAAATCTTGCCAAACTAAGAGGTCCTCCCTAATTCCTTTTGTGACCCTGGTCCTATGGTGAGGCAGGGACAAGCCCACCATGGCATCACAAAGGCGACGCACAAATGCCCTGCTGGGAGCAACCACTTTGCAAGCAAAGTTCAGGTGATCTGCAAGCCTCTGGAGCTCCAGCAAAGTTATTTTCCTGAGCTTAGTAGCTTGACCAATTAACTTTTAAAAATCCTGGATCTTATTGCAGGGCAAGTGGGACAACTGATCTCTGGTATCCAATTCAATCCCTAAATACGTCAGTACCTTGGTGGGCCCTTCCGTCTTCTCATGTGCCAACAGAACTCCAAGGTCCCCGGCCAAAGATGTAAAGGAGTCCAACAAGAATTGACAGTGCCCAGTATCCACACCTCCCACAAACAGGAAATCATCTAAGTAGTGCACGGTACTGTTCAGCCCCGTCCTAAAACGCAGGGCCCACTCCAAAAACGTACTAAACTTCTCAAAAACCGCACATGAAATGGAGCACCCCATAGGAAGAGCCCGGTCCATGTAAAACCTGTTCTCAAATGCAAAACCTAACAACTCAAAGCCTCCAGGGTGAACAGGGAGAAGAGGGAATGCAGATTTTATATCACATTTGGCGAGGTCCGCATCAATCCCACAGCTGCACACAACTTCCATAGCCTGGTCGAATGATGTGTACCTGACCGAACAAAGCTCATCAGGTATCGCATCATTGACTGATCCACCCCGAGGGAAGGACAGGTGATGGATGAGCCTAAACTCGCCTGGGGCCTTTTGGGGTACCACCCCTAAAGGTGACACCCTCAAATTGGGACACGGTGAAGTCATAAAGGGGCCCAACACCCTGCCTTCCATGCATTCCTTGGCAATTTTTTTCCTCACTACCGCTTCCATTCCCTTAACGGATTTAAGGTTAGGAGCCCAAAATGGCCTCCTGTCCCCCTGGTAAGGTATTCTAAAACCAAACATAAGCCATTCTAACAAATACTTACCCACCTGTCGATTGGGATAATCCTGTAACAGGCAGGCCAACATATGAA